CCAATATCATATCAGACTTCTCTCTTCTAAATGTTAATATAAATTAATAGAAAAGTAAGCTGAAGTAGGTGCCTTAAGAACTCTGAAATCTTGAACTCTGCTTTCCTCTTACCGTATTTTTCACAGGGGACCAACTAGGTTGGCAGGTTGTATAAAATCTCATGCAGCTACTTTCCAGGCAAGATCTGCATTCATCCCAGGCATCTGCCAAAGACACCTGGCATAGCCTTTCTTCCTCATCCAGATGTTCTTGAACTTCATTCATAAGTTGCAGGGCCTCCTGAAATTACAAAGCAGAAACAAACATCCTATGTGTATGATTCTTAGCTGATTTCATCATTGGAAATGTGCATATTCGAAACTACTTCTCTAGTCTTTCTCCTCAGTCCCTTAGCAGTTGATGGATCTGCTCCAATGCTTTCTGTTTGAATAGGAAGAGCACTGATTGATCCCTATTAAAGACTGTGAAAATCTTACTCATCTGTTCATTCATTTGGTCAACAAGTATTTACTGAGTGTTCGCTATGGGACAGACATTATGCTAGATGTGGGTGAACCAGCAAAGCCCTCCCTAGCTGGGGGAACAGCTATGATTTATCTGTTTGCTTGTCTGTCTGCACGTCTAGTCCATGGGGGACGTGGAAGGCGAGCTTTAAGGCTTATAAAGCTGACCAGTTTTATTTCTTTCACTTATGCTGCCTTTAATTGTTGTACGTTCGTAAACACTGCAAGAAAGTGCAATTCTTGTATGTCAAAGCAAATTTTCCTGTTGAGTTACATTCTAATTGCAGAGATGCTATCTTTTGACATCTCCACGAAGTGGACAGAGTTAAGGAAATCAGTGATTGTATACAGGAGCCCAGTGAGTGCTGGAGCCTCGGAGGAGGGAATTGCAGCTGTGGAGGAACCACCGGAGCTGGCAGCCAAAACTGCCTCCCACTGAACTCAATCAGAAGCCACAGAGCAAGGAGCCTCTGTGATGCAGCTCAGAGGCCAAATCCTTGAGGCACAAAGCAGGACAGAGAAAGGTGGAGAATGGATCCAGGGCAGAGGGTGGCAAACCAAGACAAAGCAGCACGTATGTTCATCTCCCACCTAGGTGGAAGGTTCTCCAGGGCAGGACCATTTTTCATTCATTCTCATAGCCCCAGCACTTAGTACAGGGTTTGGCCCAGAGTAAGCATTCAATAAATGTCTGTGGAAGCAAAATACAATGCTAGGACATGTACTACATTTAACTTAACATTTGAGGGAAGGCAGGCAGGAAGACAGGCAAAATAGATAAAATATTATCTATTTTGGGGCCATTTTCATTCCCTTTCACAAAGAATTATTCTATATGCCTGTGCCCCTGCCTAGACCCCCAGCCTCGCTGCAGGTGTGGACTCCTGAAGACCGACCCCCTCTGTGCCTGAGGTGGTTCAGGTGTACAGGGGGTAGAATGGCCTGGTCCATGAGAAGACAGCCTCAGAGCTAAAGGCAACTCCCTTAAGTGAAGACTGCATGAGGGGGAAGTTTCTGTCCTTAAAACCAATTTATTGTGCATTTTTACCCAACAGGAAAGAAAAATCACCCTTTCCTTGTGTATTAAGCCTGAAGAATCACCCGGGCACCGACAATCTTCCCCACCCCCCTGTTGGCTGGGATTTTTCAGCTGCCCTCACTGCAGAGTTCGGTGCTAAGCCAGGCAGCATTTGCCATGGCCCACAGAGGAAAACTGGTAGTCCCCAGCCTGCCAAAGCACATTGTGACCCACTCAGGGGTGTGTGTGTGTGTGTGTGTGTGTGTGTGTGTGTGTGTGTGTGTGTGTGTGTGCACGCACGCACGCACACGCACATGCATGCACGTCCTTGGGCTTTGCAGAACAGCTTTGGAATTCTACATCTTCCTAAGAATGGCTGTTTTAACATGGCAGGCACCAGTACTTCCTAGATTTTCTCAGTCAGTCTCGGTTTTAAATATTCTGCTCCTTGTCCCCATAAACCCAAACCCCAATGTTCCCAATTCCTAACTACACTCGCTGTGTACCTTTGGGCACATTACTTAATTTCTCTCGGCCTCCTCATTAGCAAGTAGGAAGAACAACAGGATCTACCTCTTAAGACGTACATCTTTTGTGTCAAGTGAACTAAACCAGTAAAGTGCCAGCATGTTCCACATGGTCTCTCTCAGGCTTCCTTCCTCTCATGCCCACAAGCATAACAAAATCCATTTACCATATCACACGTCCCAAGTTTTGGAAGTGAGATGTTGCCATGGACGAAGAAGATCTTTGGTTGAGGAATGTCCTGCTCATTCCTTTTTATTCTTCATGACTATTCCACTCACTGACAGGGCCCATGCCTAGACTCTATCCCTATAGCTTACAGCTGATCGAAATGCTGTATAAACCTACGAGAGTGTGGGCAGATCGCTTTACCGTGCTCTAGGATTTCCCACTTACTAAGAGTAGGTTTCACATGCTCTTGATGAATATTAATGAAGGGGACTGAGGATGGGGGACCATAATGAAGCGGGCCCCCTGCTCAGTACTAGGAGACTGGGGGAACCAAAACAGCACTTGCCAGTTCATCATTTGTCTGAACTGACCTTTATTCTAGGTTTAAAGTAATTTTAGGGAGTGAGACTCAGGGATAAACAGTGTTATTTTCCCAATTAACTTTTTAATTGAGTGCCCCAAATTTAAGAGTATAATTTAATGAATTGTTATATAATTAGTAAGTAAAGAATAAATAAAAATTCTACTAATTGCTGGGATTCTTCAGGGCCAGAACTGAAATCAACATTTACTTACTTGACCTGCCCCTAACTGGAATATTCTTTTCATGGTACTGTACTACACCCTTAGCTTGCCAGGAGACTCAAGAAAGTGAGAAAAATAGAGTCCCTGGGTCCCTTACGCACACATCTTCTGGATCTCTTGTGGTTCTTTCATTACAACATTGGAGTAACATGTTAATTAACGTCTTGAACCTCAGTCTTGTTAGCTGTAAACTGAAAGTAATGGTTACCCAGATGTTTAAAGCATTCCATGTGATAAGTGTGTTTTGCAAAGGGGCTTATTAATGATATCTAGTGTCACTGTTCCCAGATAGCCAGACTCATAAGCCCCCCAGGGAAGAACCCCAGCTCTAGGGGCTTCTACATTCTCCTGATGAGGAGCTATTTTGGATTTCCTCAAAATCTTTTGATTGATGCCAAAAGGGTGGAGGGTTTGCAGCTGCTGGTCAGGCAATCTCCTTTCCTTGTCTAGAATCCTGCCTGACTCAGGGTGGTAGGTGTGGCTGCAACATCAACCAGTCTGGTGACAGCTGACACACAGCTGTGGGGTCAGCCTGTCACACTACCCCATTCCAGTTGCTTAGTGGACTCGCCAGGGCCACAATGCTCGGAAGTGGAGAGAAGCAAGCAGCGGTCTGGAATTCAGTGGCCACCAACTTATAGGTATATAGGTATAGGTGGGAAATATTAAAACTTCTACTTGTATTTTTTAATGAAAAAATTAACTGGGGGAGGGGAAATAGGGCTTCGTTTAATAGGCATAGACTTTCAGTTTTCGCAAGATGAGAAGAATTCTGGAGATTGGTTGCATGACAGTGTCAATATAGTTAATACTACTGAGCTGTACACTTAAAAACGGGTAAGATGGTAAATTGTATGTTATACATGTACCACAATTTACATTTAAAAATAAGTAAAAAGTAATTAAAAAGTAATTTACTCTCAACATTAAAATTTAAAATGTTTTCCAAATAATTTTTGTTATATTTTGCATTTCCTCTATGATTTAAGGGTAATGTTGGAAGATAATAAGCTTTTTTTAAAAATGTAATTGTTTTGAGTGTTATGTTAATTGTTAATGTTATTAAACGATGAGCTATGCAATATCTATAGGTTAGAAATTTATTGAGCTTTATACTGTAGCATATGAACAATTTTTAACATCTTCCAAGGATATTCGAATACATATTCTCCGTTGGTAAAATACATAGTTTGAATTACAGCTATTAAGTAAAGCTATTTGAATTTTTAAAATGGACTAGGCTGATGTGCTATTTAACATGCACTGGCACTCTCTGGAGCTGCTCATGTCAGACACTGCATGTAACCAGCTGTACGTGAGGACCCTGGGGAAGAGGGGCCCCTCCGTGGTCTAGAAGCCTTGGCTGTGGTGTCCTCTCTCTGTTCATTTGCAGGTGATCAAAATGAATCGCTGTTTAGGGGGACTCAGGTGGACTGATGGATTTTATTATCTAGTTTTAACTAAACTAACCTTCACTAAATGGACAGGGAGCTTAAAAAGATTCTTGGGGACAAAAACAACCTGGCAGATTAAAAAAATATAAATAATTTAAACTCAAGTGAACAAGAAGCAAATGGCAGAGCTGACAGTTCTTCGTTATGAGCTGTTTAATGTCCACGTGAGAACGTAGAACTGTGATGATCTAATCAGATCTGATGAGTCGGCTAAAAATTTCAAAATATCTAGATGACTTGAAACATGGTCTTCTATCCACCCTAGCTAATGCTGAACCTCACCCTAGATGTACATTATGCCCTCAGATATTAATGATAGCAATTCACGTATCTAACTTATAAATGTTAATATGCATATATTTAGGAGTGAGTGCATACAAATTTTTTAGCAATAGAGATGGGAGATCAAAAAACTTTGGAGACCACTGATCTAGCCAAAAACTCCCTGAACACTTTGACTCAATATCCTCTCAGAAGGGACTAACAATAAAGTATTTTTGAGAAAGCAGCTCTTCTCAGAGATGAATCCCCCAAATTCCTGGATTTGGAGTCCTGCAAAGGCCTGTTCTACAAGAGATACATTGTTTGAAGAAATTTGATGTTTCCTCCAAACTTTTCCTCCAATAAAAGCTGCTCTCCACAAAATGTATTATTAGAGAAAATAAGGAACTCATCAATTGCTCTAACAAGTGCAATATTTATGGTCCAGATATGTTTAAGAAAACATTATTTTCAATTACCGTACCTGCTTTTCTTCTCTGCATTTCTTCAGGGTTTTCATTAAGTTGCTGTGTTCTTCCCCTCTTCTTTCCATTATGATTTTCATCTGCTTAACACCAATCAAAGCCTTCTTGACTGCTTCATCTACAGCTATCTCCCCAGCGTCAGAAAAACCTAAAAGACACGTTGCAGTTTTTTCTTTGAGATCTGATCAGATTACAAAACAGAGTTCCCCAATCTTTCTTGTCCCCTAAACAGAGGCTTAATTGTTCTTTTATAGCCTCATACTCTGGAAGCAGATCATAATGAATTAGCTGTCAGCTGCCACATGGACCCAGCTGCCACATGGCCAATACCTTCTGTTCCTCCCTTGTGAGCTTCTAAACAAGTCAGAGTTCATTTAACTTCATCTTGTCATTTTCCTCAGGCCTTGTTTTCATGTATCCATTTTTTCCCCTTCATTTAAGACTCAATTGTGTTTATATTAGAGAAAATTTCAAATTTTCTTCACAAACGATTTATATTAAATGCCCAGCTGTGGGCCGGCCCGGTGGCGCGCTGGAGAGTGCGCCGCTTGGGAGCGCGGCGGCGCTCCCGCCGAGGGTTCAGATCCCAATACGGAGACCGGTTCCCGTTCACTGGCTGAGCGCGGTGCAGGCGCAACACCGAGGTTTGCAATCCCGTTACCGGTCAGTAAAAAAGACAAAAAGGAAAAAAAAAAATGCCCAGCTGTGTACCTCAACCACAGTGAACAATTTCCCTTTCTTTCAGCTTCAATTAACCTTCCAGGAAGACATCAGACCTGAAAAGTATCTCATATAATACAAGATTCCTTAATAACCTAATGGGCATCTCTTACACACCTTTAATGAGCCCTTAGAGGGTATAAAATTCATTCTCATTCTCTCTTCCTAATAGCCAATGTGGCCTTCTGAGGAGCTTATTCTTGCTTCCAAATTATAGACCCCAAATTTGCTACATTGTAGCTAATTTATTATTCTAAGTGTTAAGTACCCAAAGCATATATCACCAAGCAAAGGTCACAAGTTAATGGCCACAGAGCAACCACATTCAACGTAATTATAACCCATTCTTTCACTAGCTTAAGAGTAATTGTACGGATTACTCTAATTGTTTAAATTTTTCAAATGCTAGAGAAGTATTTCACTGTTCATTAGAGTGATGCTGAGATGACATTAAACATCTGGATGATACCAAAATAATGCAGTCAAAAAGTTGGCAAATTTTATCTACATGATATCAAACATCTGGATATGTGAACATGCACAGAGACTTGACTGGAATTTTCTATTTTTATCCTGATGTTTGGCATCATGATGACTTGGTTTAAGTGCCTCGGGAATGTTTCACCACGAAACGCAGTGAATACCATTATCTCTCAACTGTAACTCGCTGTAAATGCCAGCAGAACATGCAAACATGCAAACAGGACACAGCACAGATAAGAAACCAAACATACTCTTCAGGTTTCCACCGATAGCAGCTTTGTCCTTCCAAGTAGGTGCACAGCGACAATCTTTCAACCATAGCAGATACATAGTAAACACCAAGAGTGGTGGCTTCATGTTCCCGCTGTTACTGCAAAGGAAAAATAAACCCGCATCAAATGCCTTCCATTAGGTTAGTTTCTGTTGACATCAATTGAAAACACATGGCGCTCCAGAGCATTTTTCTGTCCATTTTTCTTTATGACTTTAGACAACTTATGCTCATGTGCCTGGGACATGAGGAAGCTTGAAATATAAGTTAAACAAACAAATAAGCCTGAGTCCCCATTTGGTTTACATTCTTCATGACAGTTAAATAAGATCATCCTCTGAAGTACTTGAAATTCAAGGTAATGGATGGTATGGACAGCAGCCCCACAGAGTCCATGCTTCGTTTGATTTCCTTATCAACGGTAAACATCTCTAAACACAGACTTAATTAGAATATGTCAGAGGGGATTTTTCCCCCAAAAAATTGAGTCTTCAAGTGAGTTTTTGCCTAGGTGCTTCACTAATTTTTTTATGAAAGCAAAACCACACATTTTTCTCATACTTATAAAATCCACGATGCTATATGAATAGTGCACAGTTAAATTTTTTTCTTCTCAAATAGTGATTTTTAAGCTTAATTTGATATACATTAGTTATGAATGTTCCAGATACAAAGGTTAAAAACTTTACTAAGAAAAGTTACATAAATTTTAAAAACTGTATGCTCTCATAAAATTAAATCTATAAAATAAGTTAGGTTATCTTAACTTGCCCCAATGGGGATACTTATCTGCTTTGTGTATATTTGCTCTTTTTTTAAAAAAAAACCTCCATTATTTAATGAACATTTGGGATGTCTTTTTAGTTCAATAATAAAATAACAGCTGTACTAGTAGCTACACAGTTATCACATTTTATATATGTCATTTGAACTAGCTCTTCTCTTTCTATTCATACCCAATTTACCCAATTAAACTTTTTAACATAGCATATTTACCACTAACTTTGCAATATTTCCCCAGTGAAGATGCCACCAGCCTCTGGAAGGACCTCCACTTTCCTCTGACTTAATGTTCATCCGTGTCAGGGATTTAGCCTTGTTCTAGTCATTTGATGACACAGTTCTTAATCCTATTAACCTAACATTTTGAGATTAAGCGTATGGTTTAAATTTGGTAGGGTTTAGAAAGAAACACTAGAGGGCAAGCGATGCACACGGTCAGGAACGATGACCTTGGGTTACCTTATTTTACACAAATAAGTATTGATAGGACAAATTAAAGCCTTAAAAAATATTTTTTAAATTTGCAGTTTATGATACGTGTATTTCTATTAGGCAAAACAAATGTCTTAGACTGGAAATATAAGCGACAATGTGAAAGCAAGTAAACTCAGATAAAACATTTTGAAGGAGTTACTTACATAGTCATTTGGCAGGGCCGGCCTGTGGCTCACTCGGTAGAGTGCTGTGCTGATAGTCATTTGGCATTTTTGGACTATATGAAGTGTTACAACTAGATAAAGTGATAAAACCACTTTTAACTAAAGTGATGAAACCTAGCACTTGAATAACGTGATAGATGAATATTTCAGGCCCACTACAATTTGCTGATTGATTGGCTGAACTGAAAATGTGGCGCCTAAAAATTCATTTCGTGATAGATGAATATTTCAGGCCCACTACAATTTGCTGATTGATTGGCTGAACTGAAAATGCGGCGCCTAAAAATTCATTTAAAAACAACATACAGAAAAAACAACATACAGAAAAACAACATACAGAGCTGTCAGTCTCAGTAGCCAGCTCAAGAATCTACAATGATGGTCTCTCTGGCTACTGAAATCTCAAGATCATCTTGGGTCCCCTTTGAAAGTTTCTTTCTTTTTTTTTTTTTCTTTTGTACATACTTGTGGGGTACAGCATTGAATATCAATACCTGTGTGCAAAATGTGATGCTCAAATCAGGGTGATTACTATACAGTATTACACAATGTAATCATTTTTGTGGCCCTTTACCAGTTTCTTGCTAACTAGCCAATTATTATTATTACTTATTATGTGTTCAGTACTTTTTCTAAGTGGATCAGGCTTTGATAATTTGGAACTGGTCCACCTGCCTTTCAGGGGCCCTTAGAAGTCGGTCCTTGTCTCTGAGCAACACGCAGTCTGGAGTTCATCTCTCCGCTTGGGCACAGAGAGTGAGCAATCACAGGACACACACTCAAAGTCCAGCCCACGCCCCATTTCAGCTGTCTCGATTACCCGCTAATTCTCTCTTTTAGTTGGAAACCTCAGCTCTGTTGGAAAACAGATCTGTCAGTGCAAAGCAAAACTTGAACAATTAGTATTTTCAACAGCCTAATGTCACTTGCGCAGCTATAATCCACACCTGTAAACAGAGGTGTCCTATTCTGAGAGATGGGTTGGCCTCTGGAGGAAGCAGCATTTCGGGTATTTTTCTCAGGAAGAGAAGAGTTCAGGAAAAGTCAGTTATAGGAGATTGTTCAGTTCTACTCTTGCTCATTAGTTTGCTGCTGTCCAAGTTTGGGCCGTTTGAAGTCATGGCTGACATCCACACATTCTTTTTCAAAAACCCAAATTTTGTTGAAAGTAGAGCCAGTTGTTTAGCAAGTCCAGTGGCTCACCCTCTAGTAGCAGATTTTTTCTTTACTTCATGTTCCCCCTTTAAGTGTAATTTCTGAGAACAGAACATTATTGCTAATTAGCAGTAATTACTTTTAAAATATCTTGAAGCTTCCGTAAAGATTCTCCCTCTAATTACCTCATCTGTTTTCACAGCTGCCATTTTGTTCTTAATACTTCATGTGAATCCAGTTACATTCATAATTATGACATCATTATGCTCAAGATTTAAGTGGATTATAAAATATTATAGAGAGCTGGTTGATAATTAAGGAGACCTAGAAACAAGGTCATCTTAATTAAGAAAGACAGCAAGAGGACGCATGTGGTAGCAAATGAGAAGTAGAGGAGTCGGACAGATGGACTTCAAAATTTCAGGTTTATTGTTGCCAAGTTCAGGCTTGGACAGGGCATCTTAGGTATGTGGCCATCGTGGACTAGCTAAAATGTCACCCCTGAGTTATACTGCCCACCTGGCCACTGGCAGAGCCAGACAACCTCTGGGCCTCCCAGTGGGACACTTGGCACGTGGCAGATCATTCAAGCTGTGCCCTACGTGGAGCCAGCTCCAGGATATGATGTCAATGGTCCCTGCGGTTGTGTAACCCAGGAGTCCTGCATGTGTCCTGCAGACAAGCTGGGATTTGCTGTCTTGCACCAGTAAGGTCGGAAAAGGAAGGAAAGAGAGCATATCTCTTGTGAGTTCTCCACAACTGAGATCCATGGAGTCAGAACTTGAATTTTGTAAGGTGAGAAATGGGAGAGTGAGGGGCCAGGAGCGTTTCCCTGGTAGAAGTCCCTCCCTGGTAACAAGAGGCAGTCCCCCTTCCTGCGCCCACCAAAAAAAAAAAAAAAAAAACAAATGTCAAGGGGGGAATGCAGGAGAGAAGTAAAACAAAAGACAAAAGCATAAACATCTAAATAAATTACTCATGTGCATTATAATAGTAATTAATTTCAGCAGACTTATCCCTCCCTCCCTCCCTTTATTCCATCCTTCTTACTTTCCTTATCCTCATTCATTCAGCCATTCATTTAATAAACTTAAAGGACATGATTCACAATAATAAGCAAAATTTTAGAAGTGGAGTAAAAATACTCGTTTAAAAATTGCCCCCTTTGCAGGCAGAGGTTGGCTACTA